CTGAACAAATGTTGTCAAAAATTGTTGTTTGTCACCGAGCTTATTTTCTGGAATAATTCAAAAGTCTGTGGAAAAACCTCACTGGCTTTTTGTCGAGGGAACCAGGGTGATGCTAACTTCTGGGTCGGCCTACAACAATAAGTCATCCTACAGCACTCTATTCTGGAGCAGTGCAGGAAAACTGTGAACACAACACTGACTAGTAGTTTTGTACAACTTTTGTTATACATCAATTATGAAGCAACATTAGCATTCAAATGGCATAATGTTTCTCTGAGCCTAGTGAATGTACGCTCAACATTGCTTCATGTTTTAGCCCCTCGTTTGGTCACCACCAGCTCCTGAGTAAAACATCTGTCTCTTTAGCTGCTGTGGTCACAAGCAACTTGGTCTCTCTGGTGTTTGCTGCTGGACAGGTGTAGAAATTTGTTTCTAGAGATTTTTTATTTATAACTGCAGTACCTGAAAGCAACAGAGATGAGACTAGTGAGAGTGTATCAAAACTGTAAAGTTGTGGGTTGGAAAACCTACACAATGAGCTGAAAGACACCACAACACTTGGTAGAGCTGTGAGCTGTAAAAAAAAAAAAAAAAAGGTAATAACTGAGTTGATAATACAGTCAGTGATTTTATAAATATGGGAAAAACAGAAGTTATAAAGCTGTCCAGGCATAGTTACGCCTGCCAGAAGCGTAAACCCCTGACCATGAATATCAAAGCTGGCAGCTTGATAGTCACAGTGCAAACAAGTGGCTCTGAACATTCTGGATAACAGCATCCCCAATTTCACAACAATGCTTTCTGCATAAGCCAGAATCATTTGTATGCATATGTGTACAGCAGACTGTGAAAGGTAGTGTACCTGATGCATTACAGCTCTGCTTCCATGTCCTCTTTCATTGCTTTTTGGATGTTAAACTGAATAGAGCTTCAATGTGAACTGCTATGACTGACTTATGAATTCTTGTTTGTATTTGAAGAAGAGGCAGTCCAAGAGGAATACAGTAAATCAACATAACACAAGAGGCTGTTGCACACAATCAGTACAATGATGTCACAGTAAGTGAGTGTAACAACTGTCCAGAGGCAGAGCTCCTGGTGTGGCACCACTGACTGAGATGCAGCCAGTGCAATCAGAAGGTTTCAACCTA